CAGATCACTCAGCAATTTGCAGCCAAGTGAAAATGATGATGGAATTTGTTTCCAAAAATCACTATATGTGAATTGCTGTAATGGGTTTTGTGGTTTTTTTTTTTTTTAATTCCCAGATTTTAAAGAATCTGTTCTCGTTTTGCACTTTATCTGTTTTATCAGAATAAAGAGGAATGGATTCAATGCTGTAATGAAAAGACATAGTTCTATGAATGATCAAGGGAGGGTTTTGTAACGTAATGTCTCTGGTATATAAATGGCCGCTTGCCACTTACTCCATTTGGCTTTCTGCTGAGAGCATGGGCTTCATGCAAGCTAGTCTAATTGCTACAATTAGCAAAATTAAATGGCTTATTGTGTATTTAGACAATTCTTCCCACATTCTGCATTGTTATACCACAGAATTAGTAATTACAGTGTTGGCCTCGTAAATTCATGGACGTGTTGTGATTATTTTCATCACGCACCTCATGTAGGGATTCTACCTAAATAAGCTTGTTTAGGTGGATGCAGAAATGCAATTTACTCTGGTTCCCACCATGCACAGGAGCAAGAGAGGCAGCAGTAGGACCCCAGAAATCTGCTGAAGTCTTTTCCTTGGCATTGTGCAGGCAGTGCAGGTGGTGCAGAGTAAATCACAGCATCTCTGTCACTCCAGATTGCACGACTTCAGAGATGGAGCAGAGAAAGGGCAGTGGCTTTGGGAGCTGAATCACTGGCAGAGCCAACTAAAACTCAGTACAGCACCACTTTTAAGGCTATTAAGGAGTTGTATGATCAAATCACAAACACTTCAAAATTGTTTAATTCGTGTTCTAAAAAAAACAACAGGCTAGTTGCGAATATTTACTGGCCAATATAAAGTAAATGAATATATTGTGTGACTGGGAGTGCCTTTCCAAATAATGCAGCACTTGTACTTTTAGTACCGCTCATGAATTGCTCTTTTGGGGAGATAATAATATATTGGCTAGGCTATCATATATTTTAAACAAATTTGAGTTTAATAACTATTCACCACATATTAACAATTGCAGCTCCAATAAAATTTTAATTTACCTCCTCTGCTTAAAAGTTTACAAAATCAGGCAGCTGAGGCCTGGCATTAAATTTTGGAAGGAAAAATTCTTCCAACGTTACAGAAATTAATCAATAGAAAATTTGTTAGTTTGCCAATGAAAATAGTGTTTATATGCCATCAAGCCCATATAAGCCAAGCACAGAAACATTGTTCTAGCCCAAGAAGCATATTTAAACTGATGTAAACAAAAGTGGAAATAAGTATTTTCATCACTACATCTGCAGTATTGCACATATTCTCAAAGAATTATTTTTTTTTTTTAAAAAAAGATTATCTTATTATATAACAAAAACTTTTAAAATAAGACAAAAGGTTTATCCTACGATTTCTTGTATGTTTTCTAAATGACCACGACTATGCATTACCTATCCTTTCTCTCATTAGAGTAGTGAATACTACTTAAATTGTCTTTTCTGCAACATACAAATCCACAACTCTCAAAATTTTAGGACCAAGACTTTAACCAGAGAAGTTACCATTAAATCTGCTGGTAAGTTTGTTTGGTTCATTAGAACAATGCTTACATAATTCTTACTTCTAACAAAGAGATGTGATTCCTTTTCTTTCCAGAATGCAATTGTGAACTTTTTTATTTTACTGTATTCTGGAAAGAAATTTAAAAGACCTGATTTTTTCACTATTTCAAAAGCAGAAGTTAATTTGTTTTACAATTTTTATTTTTTATTTTTTGCTATTGCTGTCTTAATTGAACTTTATTGATTTTAAAACTGTCTGTGGTAAAAAGAATACTGCATATTGATTATTAACTGTCTGTAAGGCCATTGAGGAATTTCAACGTGGACTATATTTAAATAATCTTGACAATTTCTATAAAAAATTCTTACCGCTTTTAATGTGGTTGTTCACAGCAAAACAAATTAAGAAACTGCCCGTGTAGTCATCTGAGCATTAGGATTTTGATAGCCATCCCGTCCTCAGTGCAAGTATCACTGTACGTAACGTAACAGAGCAAGATTTTGGAGAGCAAATTTTGACTCCATATAAAATGACTTCTCCCCTTTCCTTGAACAGCTGGATTGAATTCTGAAGACAAGCTGTGTATACGTACTGCCATGTATGGTGCTGTGCATTCAGACCCTGCAGTAGTTTGCTTAAGATAAATTTACAAACATTATTAAGAAAAACAAAAATGCTGGGAGAGTAAAGAAAGTAAATGCTAGATATTAAAAACCACATGAATAAATAATGTCCCTGTGTCCTTCCTTCCAAAACCAAACAAGAGCAAATCAAACAAACTCACCCTGAACCCTCTTCAGACACCTTGCAACACAATCACTGGTTCAGACTGTAACCCTTTAAATTCTGTACGAAGCAAGGTTTCTTCCATTCTGTCAGCCCTGACCAAAGGGCTCGAGAGCATTGCCCGCTGTGCCTCACTCGTGCTAACGTTTCTGAGTTATTAAAGCACCAGCAAGCACATCAAACTGTTTCCAAATGAAACACTCACATCTTGGATTACAAAGCTTACTGTTTGCCTTGTTTGTAAAGAAAAACAGCAATTCCCTTATGCGAGCTAGCGTTTGATTCCGGAGTGAAGGCTCTACTGAATTTGCCGGGACAAAAGACTGGCTCCCAAAATCTTGTTTTAGCAGTTCCTGCAGTGGTATAGTTTCTGACAAAATGTGAGTGTTTTTCTTTGAATAATCAGATGTATCTCCGTGGAGGGAAGGGCAATCACTTTGTACAAAGCTTCAGGTTTGGGCTATCAAAGAATTATTTTATTAAAAAAATTATTATAGAGGCAGTTGGCCACTGCGTAATTTGAAAATACCTAAGAAACCCTTGAAGCACGGGTGTTTTCTGATCTGTGTAAAGTTCCCTCTGACTTGCAGATTCCTGCACTTCCACAGATGTTTTGTTTTGAGGAACTCGCCCCAGCAAAGAACAACAGGTATCGTACATTTCTCTAATAAAAAAAGTCAACATTAAAAATGGTTAATTGAACACATACAAATAAACACAGGCTGTGCAACCTTGGCTGTTTCATAGTACAAATATTAATAACAGGAAAGACTGAAATTTACTCAGCAGCATATACAGCAGTGACTACACTGGATATACCTGACAGTGAAGATTACAATACCAATCATCAGGTCTTCTCCATCCTGACAATGCCATTTACAACAGTAACTCTTCAGTTCTGCTTCGCTCTCCTAAAACGGATGGAAATAGTTATAGCAAATTGTTTCTTATGGAATCGCTTGGTGTCTTTACAAACCACTTACATTTGAAGCAGGATCCACGGTTTATGGAGTATTCTAAAAGTACCCATGTAGGCTTTCATATGGCATTACACTGCAAAACAAATCCATAATGTGTGAAAACCAGGTTTATATCAACCTGCAGAAGCTAGTTGATAAAATTCATGGACCGATTCTTAAAATCTAAGCTATAAAGAGAATGAAATGTATTAAAAGATTTGAGGTTTATAAAAAGTAATCTTTTTATACCATATTTTTACTTTACAAAAATATTGAAATAATTCATGAGTTTTTCACTCTGCACCAGCTTTAAAAAAAATACTATCAAATTTTGACTTGCACCTTTAATGCATCTGAAAGCACCATCAGGGGATACTTTTAACATAAAGGAGGATACCATCAACTAGATTCAGGGAGGTATTTAAAACCCAAAAGCTTGCAGCAAAAGCACTCTATTAGAAGAGATCGAACGTAATTTTTAGACGTATCTGGACACAAGTCTTGAAGAGGCAGAAGAGGATCTTCCACATAACTTGGTTATATTATGCTTCAGTGAATATACTTACTAAGAGGTGGCTGAAAGCCTTTAAAAGACATCACTTTCACCTTGGGACGAAAAATCAGAGCTGTCTTTACACGTTGAGAACTTGATTGGTCTTTCCTGCTTCTTGTTCTGGTAGGGCTCGTGCCACTCGTTGTCTGTCCCTCAGGCAATAGCGACCTTGCAGTTATACAATGTTTGGCACTAGAAGGGTATGGCATGTCACAGTCTCTTGTCACCCCTGCATACATTCACACACTGAATCATGCATTCTCAGTCCTGAAACACAGACGTTTCAGTGTGTTCATCTCCTTGCAGTTTCTTCCGAAATATCTGAATGGGGTCCTCCAAAAAGTTTACAATACGAAAACTATACTTCCCTGTTCTTTTACATATATATATATATTTTTGCAAATTGAACACTGAATCATGATTATCATTTAATTTACATCATTACGTGCTAGAGCTCCTTATTTCTCCTGAAAACCAGAAGTGAGCTGCATAGGATTTTTGTTGAAAGTAACATAAAGAACTTAAATTGTGTTTAAGAAGACTTTGAAATTCCACAGAAAACAAACAGTCCTGGTGATATTAACGTTTATGATCTAATTAATCAGAATTTATTTTATTTTCCATTGGCAGCCTTACAAACACGACGATGTATCTTTTCAGTTAAGAACTATTTTGCAAACCTATTCTAGTCTGAATGGTTGATTTATGGGAGTGTTGAAGACTACTATGTTTTGTTTTTGTTTTTGTTTTTTCAGAAAACAGTTTTCATAACAGCAACATAGAGTGCTACAGTTTTGTTATTTTTGAAAAGGTTTTTGTTTGTTTGTTTTTGCTATCGATTATGTGAATATCAATCATTCATTTCTAAAATAAAATGCACTACCAGCTGAAGTTGAAAGCTCTGGTCAGAGCCTTCCTATTGGTTTGACTGTAAGTACCGTGCAGTCAGACTTTCATAGCAGTGTCCTGCAGACAGACTGCACACGGTGGATCAAATGATAATCATGATGGACAGGCAGACTAAGAACACTACAGCTTGCTGCTCTACTTGTAGTACGCAGTTTAGTTATTCCTACAGCCCTACTGTCAACCCTTAATTTGGACCGTAACGTCGGAGCTTCTTCAAGCTGTGTTGCTGTTTTGTTTACAATGTGGTTTCATATTCCAAGCGCTCCTGGATGAGGGCGTCATCTTTATACTGTAGCCGTGGAGGAGTAGGGGAACATTCAAACGCTAAGATCGCCTTCCTCAGGCTCCTGTCCAACACGTGTCTCTCCCACGCTGGGTACCTGTTCCTGAACAGATCGATTTTAATGACAGACTCCTCAATCCTTGGTGGCCGGGATGAAGGTGTGGACGGTGCGGTGGGTCTCACCTGAAACACAGGCACACACCCATCCCTCTCCGCGAATTTTTGATCCCGCTCGCTCGTGACACTCCGGTTGTTGGAGATGGACCGTAGAGTGTTTGTTGCCACTTCTGGGGGTAGGGTGAAGGCAGCGGCAGGATCCTCACAAGCACAGCTTGGCGACTGCCCGAACCTCGGTCCGTTGGGGTGAAAGAAGGCATAGTACATTAGCATAAAAACAATGCCTGTTAAAAAGCTGCTGAACACTACGCACAGTGCTGGTATGGCAAATGCATCAGAGATCGGTGGGGCCTTGTACAGATACCAGAGAGCACTCAAGGCGGTGTTTTCTAAAAGGATCACAAAATAGTAAATGAAAAGCCTACAGCGTGTCCTTCCTTCCTTGACATTGAACCAACTGAAGATATAGATTATCCCAACAACCATGTCGAAAACTATCTCCTCCCATTTAGTGATGCAAAACTCTGTCTCGCAGTGAACGATCCAGAAGGTCATGATGCACCAGTGCAGCACGATGAAGATCCCAAAGTACAGCTGGAAAACCGAGGCAAACAGAGCAAAAGTAATAACCCTTGCTGCAATTGTGAAGAAATGCCAGCAAAACTGGATTATAACAGCCATGTAACTGATGGGTTTCTTGTCATCACGGGAGTCACGGAGGGCCTTTTGGTAGGAAGCCAAAGCCCAAGCCAGGGATACAAGAGATGCTGCAGCAGTAAGACCTAGGAGGAAACAGGAGATGCAGTTAAGGCATAATTAGCATCTCAGCACTTAGTTGAAACCAGCGAGATCCTTGCTGCTTAGAAAGTGCTCTTCACCACTCACATAATAAAAATCTCTTACTTCTCCTTTAGCTCATCCACCACTGAGGAATGGATCTCTACTGCTGAGATTTCATTCCCCTTATAAGCACAATATGTAGGTGTTTAACCAGGTAATCCCATTAGCTGCACTATGTCAGCCCAAGAGGAGGGAGAGGGAGTGTTATTCCATCTCCAGTGTTTGGAGAAGTTATTGAGGAATTGTCTGAATAACAGATGTGTATAGATAATTGTCTGCCTGGCTACACCTGACTATAGATGCTCCTAGAGTAGGGAGTTATGACTTAATGTCCATATAGCCACTCTGTCTCCCATAGATCACAGAATTACCTATTTATAAGGCCCTGAACTATAATACTTCTGGAAAACCTGTCAAATATTTTTTACTAAAAGAATTCAATATAAAATTATTTCTCATGAGATTTTCAAACATTATTTTTGTAAAAATAATTCCTATGCACTTCAAAATACAAAAACTGTAAAACATTTCTTTTAAAAAAACCATTCTATGCTTGTTTTTAATGCATTATTCTTTTTTCCTCACACAAGTTTGATTGTTGTCAGTAGGTAAACTTAAAAAAAAAGTTGCTTTGCAACCAAATCTAGTTTTTAAACTAATCTGTTACTTCCTACGCTACCAGAAAAAAACTTACATTCCCAAATAAGAAGTGATATAGTTCAGCATAATTATTCAAATGCTTAACACTTACACAGCATTCTCTTAGAAATGAACAATAATTTTTCTTTACTAGAAGATTAATTTTTATTTACTTATGACTCATATCAAGCTGCATTGGATGGAAATGGGAGTTCAATTGAAACGCAAAACCCCAGCCTTTTAAGTGTATTTATTATTTAAATAAAATTGCACTAAATATGTTTTAAACAGAGTAAAAATGTAGCAAACATTTTATGCTTAAAACTGGTTTATTACCAAAGCAAATTTTATATACAGTTAATGAATGAATTCATAATACTCAGCATCCCAGACTGAGAATTTATTCATAGACTATTTAAAGATAATGATGCTTCCACTTACTCTAAGAAGTTCCTTAACTTTGAACGAGTTATAGAAGTAAATCAAACTGAAATGAAGAAAACATTTCTTTTGTCTGCTATTAAAAGCTGTTTAATCATTTCAACAACCTTTGATTCTAGATGCATAGACAATATTTTTTTTTCCCTGTTCAATAGCTTTCTTTAGAACCTAACCATCAAGAATATATTACTTAAATATTATAAATTTTATGTGAATTTTGTTAACACATAGTGGTAAGTTTAAGACTAAGTACAAGTTCCTATGCATGTTTGCAAAAAATGTTTATTTTAAAACAGAAAAATGTAGGTTATGGATATAATACCTGATTTTGAAGTAAAAAAAAAAAATCTATTTAAGCAATCCACTTGGCTTAACATGCTAAGATTTTGCTCAGTAAGTAGTACAGAGGGATTCATTGCTTTTAGGAGGGATTGTGTTTGCCAGTATTTCTCCCCCAGGCACTGGCAGGGTGCTAATTATGTTGTGAGCTCACATGAATCCATGAATTTAAAAAACCTTAGTTCTAAAAATAAAAATAACAATAAACAATCAGCAGAAAAATAGAACAAACAATATTTCAGGAATAATTTTTAATAAAACTGCATCATTTTTCTTCCCACGCAGATGCCTGGATGTCAAAACAGCAACATTACTTCTGGAATCCTCCTTCACAGAGGGAACAAACTATTAGCAATGAAGACAGGGAGAAGACATGGTATAAATTGTTATTTTCATTTCTGACATGTATATTTGCTATTTACACTGGGCTGCCTTTCAGTGACCGTTATCTCTGGAGACGTTAACAGTTGAAAACATAAATTCTCGTTTTCCTGTAAGAATGTTTTAAGTATTGAAAAACCACAGTTCATTTCCCTTATGAAATGAAAAGTTTGGAAAGGTAGATGAACAGGATAAAGGATAAAAGAATCTTTCAATACAAATGAGCCACTCTGAGCAAGAGCTCAAAAATAGCATTATCAGTACAGGAAAGAATAACGTGAGAGAGAAATCCATGTATTTTCTTTGCAAAACTAATTTTAATGACCTCACATACTCCTCCAGAGGTTTGTAGAGATATCATCAGTTTTGCATTAGGAGGTGTAAAATCATTCAATAATGCACACAGCCTGCTCCAAATAAAATGTTAAAATTCATAGGTATTTCCAACGTTCTAATGCCAATTAATTCATAGTCATTGTCTGGGACAGAAAGAAGCAAGTACAATATCAATGTAATTCTGTTATTTAAATAGTCATTAATACGGAAATATCCTTTGCTTTTACAGAACAAAGTCAAGTATACTGGCATACAGGAAAGAAAAGGACACAAGGGAATGTGCAAAAGGAAAGCACTGTCAGTTAAAGTACTATGTATCTATTCTCATGCTATTGACAATGGTGTTAGGGATATAGAATTTATAAGATAAGGCTAAACACTTCATAGGCACCATCCATTTTTCATTATTGATGAGACTAAGCACTGAAGAATTGTTAAAAGTATAATTAATAATGAGAGCAATAATGTAAAATTGATGCAAATGGAAGTTTGCTAATAAAGCAATGCCACTATATAAATAATTCACAGGGAACGGTTAGAGATAAAGTGAATTATTGTAGCACTGAACGGCTAATTCATTAATTAGAACATACTGATGCATTTGCTGAGTATGTGTTCGTAGACACCTCTTTATCCGCATTTCAAAAGAAGAACCAAAACAAATATCTGTTACTAGCAAAACAAAACTTCAAAGGCACTAGCACGGCACCAGGAAAAAAGAACAGAATGTCTTATAAACCTAATGGAAAACAAATAATTTGCAACAATTCAGGTGGTTTAACTTCCGCAGTCAGGAAGGTTTATTTGCCATCCAAAAATGAACAGAGAAGACTGGGCTGTGATCTCTGGAGTCACTGTTCATGAAGAACACGCACCAGCTTTCCCACTCGCTCAGCTGCAGCCTCTGCACTGACCCTTCAGGTGCTGTGGCAGCTTTCTAGTGCATTTGACAATGTTGTGTATTGTCTTGTATTTAGGGTCTTGATCTTGGAAATTAAGATTAACTAGCTATTCTCAGTGAATATATACTTAAGAAATTATATGCTCATCTGTTACATACTGTTAAAAGTCCACGAAAGCATGAATTCTGTAAAATGGCCTGGGGAAACATGAAAGCATATTTCTGTTTCTTCCTTTTCTAAAGCTGAACCTTCAAATTTTTTCTGCACTATATGATTTGGTCTCTAAAGTTCTGTCCTGAAGAGGAGAAAGAAATACAGGCTTTGCACAGGAAAAAGATCTCTTCACATATTGCATCAGGCAAATGATGCTTTTGTTTGTTTCTAAAATGGACACCTGAAAACCCCTGAACAGCAACTAGTAGGGAGTCTACCTACCCATCTCCAGCCTTCATAGTCTCAATGGTGAGACTAGCCAATAATGCATTGTATTAAGACAACTTTCTGTCTGGAATTAATTAGAATCTGTTTTGAGTGAAAAAGACAATTTAGACTCTTTTATTCTGTTCATGGTTTGCATTACTTAATTATGTTATTTGTATAAAGGAACGACAACTTTGTAATTACAGATGAGATTCAGATGTCCTTAAGATAGTGATCTTCCTGTCTGAAAACAAAGAACAGAATTGCCTTGATTGGATTATGATTTTAACTTCCTTCCCTGGAAATGATTAATTTCTCCATATATAAGACATGTTCTTACATTTTATAGAGCATGGCATATCTGTACTGGTACTTTAAATATAATACATAACACATGGCAACGACCTACAGCTCATTAAAGACCAGATAAAAAACACGAACATGACTTTCACCAGTGAAAGGAAACACACATGAGGGAAAAGGAAATGTATATAGAGATAGATACTTTCACAAATGTAATATAATTTCAGGGAAGCGAGCTCAAATAGCTAAAGGAAACACACATGAGGGAAAAGGAAATGTACATAGAGATAGATACTTTCACAAATGTAATATCATTTCAGGGAAGCGAGCTCAAATAGCTCCAGGAGAACCAATGAAGCTCTCTTCAACTGTATTTGGGAGAAATCTGACTGAAAAGTTCATGGGTAATCCAAATAGAATTGTTCACAACAGGTAAGGGTTTTCCATATTGCATCTCTGCTTGGCAATTCACAGCTTAATTGTATCCTGCTGATAGCTCTGCCTTTCCATTGAGGTTCTCCCAAAAACGCACCATTTATTTAACTTTGAGGAATGCGATTCAATGTCTAAGCAGCATATATGATTTACTAGTTTGTATTTTTCTCCCACTCCCACAATATAAACTTTAGTTTGGAGTGTAACTGAAAAAACAAGGGCCTCATTCTCACACTAGTTTTATCTTACTCCTGATTTGTACTTGAGAGAGTAAAGGCATATTCAGGTCCATAAACTACTTTTTTCCTAACCACATCAGTCCATAAATCCTATATAGAATCAGTACAGAACACCTCAGGTCAGTTGAAAACCCTGCAAATGAATGAACTGATCAGAAAAAGTGCTCCTTGACATTCAACCTGATTTCAGAAACCAAACTCCTGCCAAGGCTTCTGTAGCTGCTTCATCTTCCTTTTTAAACTTGTACTTATCTCATAATTTCCAGGAGAAAATTAATGTAGAAGCAGGAATACCAAATGCAGTAGGACATCTGGGCATGACAACATTGCCTGAGATCTGGGACCATGGAATATTTTTTAAGAAAGCCTATTTTTGTGAGCTTCCTACCCAGCTGGAGAAGTGACATTATATGTATCCAAGCTTTCAGGTGCTTCTCTGAACCAAAGCCAAAGACCTCTAACATTCGTAGCTCCCCTTGAGGCCTTAATTCTGTAGGAAACGGTATATCATGACTGCATCCCTCCAGCTTCAGAAAATGGCTTACTGTATTTACACAAGCTTTTGTCATGCTGCTCTGCAAGTATAGCCACAAGCTTGACGTTCACGTGGAGGCCTTGCAGGCAGCTTGACAATAGTCTCTGGGTTTCTGCACTAATTCTTTTACGCCCATACACTAACATGGCAATGTACGACGTGGTATACATACCGTGCTTTCACACGTGATTTTAGTACACAGGACGCTTTGCATGCTTCAGGGTTAGCTTTTGATCATATGAGGGACTATGTCTCCAACTTCTCAGTATGTGTTTCATGCTCGTGGGTCTCGTTCCCTGACCAATACTGTGAGATGAAACCTAAAGATGAAGCTT